CAGCTTGCAGCATCTGCATTCCCCATTCATACCCGCTCTAATCAATTCAGTGAATTCTCAGTAAACAGCATCTCGGCTGGATCTTTTCCTATCCCTGCTTCAGCATTCATTAATGAGTCAGCACTCCGCACATAATTCTGATTCTGGTTCCTTGATTATGCATCTGATTAGATGTGAATTTCTGTTAGTGAAATTAAAACGTTGAGGATTTATTCACACAGGGAGAGGAGAAGAGGCATGTGAAATAGTCATTTCTATACATTCAGGATGACAATTTAAAAAGAGAGAATTATATGCAAAAAAGATCAAATAAATCCTTAATTAGTGGGAAAGCCCGTCATTGCATTCTGTTACGGCTTCTATGAAGCGGTGAAAACACTTAGGGGTCTATTCACAAAGCTGCCGAGGGCAGCCGAGTGAATGACCGATCAGAAGTGAAGTGAGCCGAACACTGTTCGGCTATTCACTTCAGGCTGGTACGGCTGATTTCAGCCGTATATCGGCTGAAATCAGCCGTACATCGGCTTGCTTCGTGTGGCTTCGAAACAGCCGAACATGCTCAGCATGTTCAGCTGATCCGAAGTGCAGAAGGAGTACGACTCAGCCGATCCAACATCTGGATCGGCTGAGCCGAACCTCCGGCAGGCTTCACACTGCTGTTCGGGCTATTCTGAAAGATCCCGAACAGAAATGCAGGTGGTGTGATACCCCCCCTCCCCTCCGGCTTTATCACATGCATGAGACAGGGATAGCTTTTGCTCCTTGATTCTCTGAATGTCATATCCTTGCATATTTAATTGAGAAGATATAGCATGAAATTGATGAAAATGCAAGATCTCCTTACATGCTAACCCCCAAACATGGATAAAAAAAACACTAATTTAAACAAAACAGAGTCCTCAATCTCTTATTCTGCAGCCACTGTTATAATGAACAGGAAGCCTCTATACTGAGTGTTCCTGTCCATTCATAACTTGTGGAGATAGTATGTTTACTATGTACACAATCATTAATGAACAGGAAGTGTTGCATAGCACTTTCCATTCATTCATAATTGGGGACACAGTCAACATACTCTGTCCCCAATTATTTACAAGCAGTCATCGATCAGGTGATCGCTGAGTGCTTGTACCTGCTCTTCATCCTGACACGCTGTCACAGGAGGCTGAGCCAGCGGTGCGGGAGAAGGGCTCGGTCTATTTTGACTGCTGACTCCTCCCCCGCACCGCCGGCGTGGCCTCCTATGACAGCTGGCAGCTGTCTGCGCCCCCACTCCGCTCTCCTAATTTGTCCAAGTTATTATAGGATTTCAGGACAATGGAAGTTTAATTCCAACCAAACGAATGAAGAGAAACTATTTTAATGGCTAAGGAAAATTTGCATGGCTTTCCAAGATGGGTGACTGAAGCGGAGATAAGCACTTCCTGGCAATCAAGTCACTACCAAAATAACTCCCAAAGGGGTTGCTCTCTTCCAAGGTCACCAGACTTCCTTTACTAGCCGGCATCCAATACAGGGGCAAGGATCTCTCCAGAGCCTAACTCACCCTGACCAGACAGGATCTTGTCCCTAACTACACTCCACACTAGAGGGCCCCTCTTATGGCACAGATTGCGCGTTATATATGACATCTGCATCTAAGATGGCCACCTAAATTGTGTGGAATCTCCAGGTCTAACCAGGAACTAGGCTTCGCCAAGATGATGCCAGGCATCCTTGTATAAAAAAGGGGCAGGGGCGATGTCACCTGGCCTTCTGTTGGAGTCCTGGTAAAGTGGAGGATCCTAAATCCTGTGAAATTGTTCTCTAGCACTCTGTAGAAGTGCATTCTTGCAGGATTTGATACACTCAGCTCTCCCAGGATCCCACAGGAAAGCCAAGTGATGTCACCTTCACCTAGCCAATAGGAGCAGAAGCTGCGGTGTAAGGTCATTTTTTTCTTATTTCTCCCAAAGTTTTATTCTTTAAGGTTTAAGGCTTTTTTTCTGGGGGTAGGGAGCTATTAAATAAGCACACCTTGTACTTTGATGCAAGGTGCCCATAAGGCTTCATTCACACAACCACTGGATGTGTGGTTACATGTAGACAGCCACGGCTCCTTCAGCCTGTCACTGATTTGTACAGGCTTCGTGGCTGAGGCTGATCACACATACTTGTGATCCCAGCCACAGTGTTATGTTGATTCTTGCTGGTCTGCAGCCCTAATTGGCCGTGTGAAAGAAGCCTTAAGCAGCGGGTACGTATTTGGGCGGTTAAAGACAATTCTGAGACATAAACAGAGGCACATAGTCACATACATGCACATACGAATGTGAATGTTGGTTGCAATATTTAGAGAAAGTACAATGGAGGAAGTTCTTTGCAGTTCCATTTCAATCTACTCACACTGTTGCCCCTTAAAAGCAATAGCACATAGCATGCGCTGTAGCACGCTGCAATGTGCGGTAACATGCTACCATGCATTGCAGTGTGCTATGTTGTAAAAACATGTTTCATGTCATTTTTTTGGGACATTTTGTTGTGTTGGCAGCCCATTTTTTAATATACTGCCTTAACGCAACACATGTTAACATGCTCAAAAAGTGCATTAATGCGAGCGCTTTAACACAATGCACCAGGATGTCAGTGTGTGAATGGGTCTTTTCCTTACTTGATTATTTAACAAGGCAACATAAACAAATAACTGAAGAGCAAACATCATCCAAGATTACTATTTAGTGATGTGAGATTGGGGAAAGATACATTGGCAATGGTGCTACAGTTTATTGATCTTTACAGGGTCTAGACTCAGGATGCCAACAAATTAACAAAGCAGTAGGTACCAGTCCCCGGTGCTACGCCACATCCTTACCTGATATAGGATTCTAACTCCTTAACAGTCCTGGGTCTTCTTTGTTGTAGTTTTCATTTCAAGATGCACCAAATATTGTTAATTGGTGAAAGGCCTGGACTGCAGGCAGGCCAGTTAAACACCTGGACTCTTTTACTACAAAGCCATAATGTTGTCATAGATGCAGTATGCGGTTTAGCATTGTCCTGCTGTAATATGCCCTTCCCTGAAACAGACGTCATCTGGATGGGAGCATATGCTGCTCTAAAACCTGGATAGATATTTCATCATTGATGGTGCCTTTCCAGATGTGCAAACTGCCCATTTCATACACACTAATACACCCCCATACCATCAGAGATGTAATCTTTTGAATTGAGTGCCGATAAAAAGCCGGAAAGTCCCTCACCACTTTGGTCCGGAGGACACAGCGCCCATAGTTCCCAAAAAGAATGTCAAAATTTGATCCATCGGACCACAGAAAAGTTTTCTAAACAGACCGCTGACACTTCACTTTTGAAATAGAAAAATAAATTGAGAACACAGAGTCCACAGTCTCTTTTTCTGCAGCCTCAGCACTCAATGAATGGAAAGCACTCAGTACAGAGGCTTCCCATTCATTCACAAACTGGAGATAGAAAATATTTACTATCTACCAGCTATGAATGGGTAGAATCCACTGTACTGAGTGTTTCTACCCATTCAAGATGTGATATAAAGCACTTCCTGTTGATTCATAACTGGGGACACATAGTAATAGATGTCCCCAGTTGTTTACAAACATTGGAATGACCAGCGATCAATCCAGTGTTTGTACTGCCCACAGAGGATCGGTAAATATTACACATATTTACCGATCCTCCAGCTCTCCATCCTGCCACCGATGTACGGCTTACTGCTTACTGATGCAGCCAGCTGCAAGCGATTGTGTTCCACCGCAAGCCTAAAGCTGGCCATACACCTTACAACCATCGCACGACTTTCGTTGTGCGAGGGTTGTAAGGTCATAAAAATTTTGTACGACCTGCCCAACTTGGACAGGCAGATCGTACTTGCGATCATCGCAAGCCCTCCCCGCTGAGGGGAGGTCTTGCCGATGATTGCAATGCTGAGTGGGCAATGCTGAGCATGCGGCTTTCGTCTTCCGAGCACGCTACCAACCCGATGAAAATCGTACAGTTTTCCAGCGTGCTAGGAAGACGAAAGCTGTGTGACCGTACAGTAGATGCGGTCGAACGCTGCCCATACACCTGCCGATTATCGTCTGATCGCGGGATCACCCGTGATTATCGTACGATATTCGGCAGGTGTATGGGCACCTTTACATTGGTGGCAGCGAAAGGGTTTTGAAAGGTTTTCTATTGTGAATAAAATATGGGTTTATGAGATTTGCAAATCATTGCATTCTGTTTGTATGTAGATTTGACACAACGTCCCAACTTTTCTGGAATTGGGGCTGTAGAAGCGTCAATGGTTATCCCAGCCAGTCTCATATCCCCCCAATGCATTTCACCTGAGAAGTTGGCTTACACTTAGATGGCAAGGATCACCATAAGCTGATATGGGTAGTATGATTTGCTATTTTTTTCATTATAGGGAGATCTATGACATGTTTTACCAGAGAAATTGGCTTAGTCTAAGACTATGTCTCAGGCGGAAAGCATTAGAGGAGCTGAAACCGGCAGCGATCTCCAGCGGTATTTCTAATTAAAGGTTTATGCTTACACTAACATGGGCAAAGGGACAGATTTCCTTTAAGAACTGTGCTAGAACAGAACAAAGGCTGACTTCCAGCTTCTATCCGATAGGCTTACATGTGACTGAAGCACAGAAAGGATTGTCATTCCTCGGAAACTGCAGAAGGGGTTTTGTTAAGGACATATTTTGGATATAGATGGTGTTCCGAGCATTCTGTTGCTAAAGAATTTGCGTTGCTTGGAGAATTTACCATCCAATCGAAATCAGCATTCCTAAAGAAGGATTCCACAGCTATTACACTTTGTCTGCAGCTTGATGAGAAGCAATCCAATGGATAGAATTCACCTAAATTACCTTAGCTTCACAATCATGCCCTAAGCCATAGCAGACAAGCAGAATGTACTCTTTAGAAAAACTATATCTGTATTCTACCTGCAGTGAGCTGATACTTTTCTACTACCTCAGGTTTGGCTTAGAGTTTTTCAAACTCGGCCTAGAAGTAAATGTGAAAATGCATTTCTGCAACAAATGGAAGTGACAGACACTACAGAAAAACGCCTAATTACCTGTCAAGTGTTGGCTTTTGAATACTCTGCCCGTGAACAAAATGTTTCTTCCCAGCACAATTGATTCTTTCAGAAAGTGAATATATTGTCAGATGTAATCCCAGTCCGGCAGTATTCTCTACAGTACCTGCAATCCTGATCTGTATCTCAAATTAATCAAACTCAAACGCAAAGCTAAGCTCTAACATTTCTATTGAATGCCATTAAATACACGACAGTACGTTCCATCGTACCAAATAATACCAACATGTTGCCATTAGAAAGTATTTCCTTCTAACCCAAACTTTTCTTTCACTGAACTGACAAAATATAATGGAATAGTTAAATTTACCTTACCAAGCTGTGCAGATTTCAGCTTAAAGTACACTGAAGTAACTGAACCCAAAAGTTTTAATTTTGTTTTGGATAAAGTAAGGGAGCGTTATCACCCTTGTCAGCTTATTATGCCATCTGTGTCCCTTTGGGGAGATTTCCCTTCACTTCCTGTTCAATAGCCACAACAGGAAGTGAGAGGAAATCCCTCCAAAGAGGGAAACCCCTAGTGGTCAGCAGGGTTACCAGAACTAGTGTCCCCAATGGAAGATTTCCCATGCATTCCCTGTTCTGATGACAAGCCAACATTTGGGATTTTCTTTCTCTTTAATCGATAAAAGTCATTAGCACAAATAGAGAGGGTGGACCTCCCTAAGAGCCTTTCCACACAGACAATCCGATCAGGTCCGCCTGTCAGTTTTTTAGGTGGATCTGACTGGAATCCCAGTGTTAGTCTATGGGCAGCCGGATCTAAAAGGACGTGCGTCCGTTTACATCCGAATACTCCTGACTCGGGCCAGGTCTGGAAAAGCACACAGAGCAGAGTTCCATTTTGGTGGACTTCAACGTGGCAGTAATCATGGCAATCTGTCGATTTGCATCCGACTCCCCACAGACCAACACGGGTCTGGTAACTTCGTTCTTTTGGAGGAAAAAACTGGATGGACACGGATATCACAACCATTGATGTGACATCCATTCCAAACTGCTTCACTCAGCAGGGGATCCATGCATCGATTCCCTGCTGATCGGAACTAAAGGTGTCCATGTGAAAAGGGTCTAACAGGGACACAGACAGCAATAAAAACCTCACACGAATCTAATCCTTCTCCACACTATCCAAAATTAAACAAAAAGTTTTGTTTGAAATGGAACTTTAATACAGCAAGAGAAAAGTTGTACTTGGAACAGTTTAAAAACTGGGATCAAGGCAGGGTAAGGGGCCCCTCAGATCCCTCTAGAGCACAGTACAGTGAAGTATGTCACACTCCAGTGGCGTAACCAGAGTTATGGGCGCCCGGGCAGACATTTTTTTTGCATGTTTCCCTATTTTGTCTAAGGCCCCATTCACACTGTGCGTAAAATCCCGCTATTTTGCACATTATCGCGAGAAGTTGCCGGCCAATGTTATTCAATGGAGCTGTTCTAATGTACAGCTCCATGTCGCCGTCGCTTCAGCAGGACCCTTTTTTCCCCGCGGATGTCGCACGATTTTTCTATCTTTGAATGCAGCCCGACGGTGAAGGTTGCCCCGAACAGTCGCGCTATCCCGGCCCCGCTTGTGGAGTATGTCGCTTGGTGTGAATTGGGGCCTAAGGCAGTGATGTTGAACGTTTCTTAAACCCGAGCGCCCGAACTGCAATACAGTACTAAACTTATTTTCAGCGCTGGCACTTTGAGGTAAATAAATTGATTTTGAGTCGCAGTTTGGGCACTCGGGTTCAAAAAGGTTCGCCATCACTGTCCTAGAACAATAGCAAAACTGGAAAAATGCTAGGAGTAGGAGGGGGTAATAAATCTGGAAGGACGTGAGCCCAGTCAGTCACATGTCAAAGTCATGTGACCTGCCACTCCTCCAGCTACAGTGCTCTGTAGTGTTATTCACAGAACATTCCATGTAGTTGTCATGTGGAAAAAATGTTTAAGTGTCTTTCCAGGACAGGTATCCAATCTCCTTTAGAAAATGGGGACTTGGAGGCAGAACTATACTCTTGGTTGGCTGAGCCAGGATAATGTAAATTTATGTGCGTGGAAAATCATTCATTTCAGCAGATGCTGGAATTGAATACCGAGCTGTGTATGCATGGCTTGTCTCTTGTGCAATAAACATTACCTTCCTGCTTACAAATTTTCAATATTCAACTAATGTTCTGCTTCAATGGTGCAGATACTTGCTGCAGCAAAACTTACTATAGTTTATGAACAGAAATCACGCTTCATTACACCTAGGTTTACAAAAGGACATGTATGATCAGCAACTGTGAATTCTTTCCAGTCCTTTTGTAGATTTACTGTACATATAAAAGATCAGCTTGATCGCTAATGGATGAATGTACACAAATAATATTAAAAGGTGCACCGAAATGGAAATTTCAAAACTGAAAAACAATTGTCAGGCCGAAACCGAAAATGTTTTTTTATTTTATTCACATTTTTTAAATATTTAATTTTTATTTATTTTTTTATAAACTTTTTAATTTTTTTAAAATTCATTTTTTATTAAATATTTGTATTTTTTACTTTACTTTTCGGGGCTTCGGGGGAAATATTAGGGATCTAATCAGACCACTGATATTTCCCTTTTAAAATAGAAAAAGAGATTGAGAACACAATCCTCAATCTGTTTTTCTGTATCCCCTGTTATCAATGAACTGGAATCCTTTATGAGTGTTCCTGTTCATTGATAACATGAGGATATGGTATGTTTACTATAACTACAACTATGAATGAACAGGAGATGATGTAGCTCACTCCCATTCATTCATAATTGAGGCTACAGTAATCATACCATGTCCTCAATTATTTACAAACACTCAGCAATCACTGATCGCTGAGTGTTTGCTCTCGCTCTCCTCTCTGACACACTGTCACAGGAGGCTGAGTGAGCGGTGCAGGGAGGAGAGCTCAGCCTCCTGTGACAGCGTGGGATGTCTCCGCCCCCACACCGCTCTGCCGGACTGTGATAGGCGGCTGAGCGGTGTGGGAGGAGAGACACCGGCCGCTCACGGCGGTCTCCTCCCGCAGCTCACGGCCGGCTGTCACTTTCTCTCCTCTGCCACTGTCACGCTCTATTGTGTGTTATCATAAAGCAACCTATTTATTTGGAATGGGCTACTAATGTGCCTCAAACAATTCCACTCACTGGGCAACATTTTATCATGAAGTTTAAATATCCATTTTCCTGTACAGCAGCAAATTCCTTGTAACTTACACAGTGTTTAAAGTGTTTTCCCACATTTTTTTCTTTTCAAAAACGATACAGTTATTGAGCAACATGCAAATTGAGCAACCAATAATGTGAGACAATTCCTACTATTATCAAAATTAAAATATACCTAGTGTAACGTTAAAAACCTGCTACACAAAGCAGTACAAACAGTCTGTCATAACCAATACCATATTAACACATTAAAGATAACAGCATACAGCCATCTGTCTATAATAAATACAACACACTTACATTTAAACTCATTGAATGTACTCCAGCTAAAAAAATACTAATACTGCCCAGGAGCAGACCTACCATTTTTGACTGTGCAGTTGGAAAAGGGCCCTCAGACATAGAAGCCTATTTATACTAGATGTATACTGGTGTCGGGACCTCTCCTTTTGTCACAATCTTGGTAAATGTTTACTTCTAGGGTAGGGGAGAAGGGGGAGATATTCTTAATGGTACCCTAACCATGCTCCTGGTTTGTAATATCCAAGTGGTGTTGGGTAGTGAGAGCATGCTTCACTTCCTGCCTGACCAGCAATGAGACATGCACAATGCTTTTCTCATTTCCGTCTAATACCATATGGACTAGAGTTTAGAATATGACAAAGGCTACTCTTCATATGAATCTATCTATGCACCGTCAATAAGACCGCCAATACACTGTTAGAGTTTTGGGCCAATTCACAGGTATCGGACAAAATTCTAACAGTGGGTGGGCCTGTTGGCTCAACAAAAGTCAATTACTCAATAGATTTTAGTCCAAGTAGCCTAACCGAAAATTGATGTTCAGTAGGGACTGGTCCATGTTCGGTCCGAACTTGAGCTCATCTCTACTTATGACCAACCTACAAGAGTAATAGAAGCAGAGTTTCCTCCTAGTCATGTAATAAGGATAATAATATGCAATGTTAATTGATGAGCTTAGTTAATACTTACAACCATATTATTTAATGATACCCAGCAATCACTAGGAAACTCCTGAAGCAATGGAACCAAAAACTGCAGGCAGCCGTCCCAGTGGCAGAGGAGAAGCATCATTCCTATGAGGTTAAATATTCTAACCACGGCGCTGGCGAGGTCATAGGTCATGTGGAAAATCTACAAAAAAAGGAAAATAAATTTAGTTTTTGAACACTATTAGCATATATTTATGACAAGCACAATTCAAATAGTAACACACATCCTTTGTAAATGTATTGGTTACATTTTGGTGACAAAGTGAGAGAGGCATGGGAAGTTATAAGGCAAAAGGTAGAACTTCTGATTTTTATTGCTGTCTCTGCCTGCCTGGTCTCCTTATTTCTCATCAGTTACAAGGATGAAAATAAATGGGAAGGCTAGGGATTGGAGGCATAGACAACAATAAAAGCTTGACAAAAGTATCTTAAGGAGATACTGTCAACTTGCCCATACAGGGCACTGTAACAGAGTTTTTACAATGGGGGTCCCCATATATTCACCATACGAGTACTCTGCCACCAATTATCCCTCAGTTGCAGCCAATGACAATACTAAGGACACCTGGGTATGGTGGACCAAATTACCTCCTCCGCATGACACTACTTGGGAGTACCAAACAATCTCTAGACCTGAGCACTGTCACATGAACCAGTGTGGCTATTGCTCCCCCTGTTGGCCGACATCAGTCATTTTAGTGCCGACTACAAAGGAAGGAGTGGCGAGTGGGCGCAGGCAAGGCAAGTATAAAGGGGTTGGGTTGGGTGGGTCCCTTTGTCGATACACTGTCACTCTGCCCATCGGGCTTTCATTTTTGTTTCATCAGGAGAGAATTATAATGTTCAAGTTACTGCAACTGAAAAATTATGAATTATATGCCTGAGAATTGTAGTGAGATAAAAATACAAATTGATAGCAGTCTACAGCCTTTCCATAGGAGTGAATAGAGATGCTTCCATATTTTAGGGGAAACAGCGCAATCGTGTCAGAACTGGGGAGGTAATGCAGCTCCCAAAGACCCACAGATAAGATCACTGTGGAAAGGGGACAGGAGATTTGGACGGGTGGGGAGGGGCAACTTTTAAAGGAAAACTGGACTAAAAGTACAGTTGTAACACAGATGCACACAATGGTTAGAGAATTATATCAAGTTTTCACTGACCATGATACTTTTACAAAGGAGAAAAGCTTTTAGCATCACATATCACACCAAACAGAATTCCTGAGCCATTTGTTACATAGACATGCCATCAAAACTTTTAACATCACACCATTCTTTTTTCTTTATTTTACGGGTGACTCCCAGGACATTCTTCATAAGAAGCACCGACATAATAGAAAGGAAGGGGTGGCAGGTAAGTTGTTCTGGGCTATGAAGAAAATAGGTCACCAGCACTCCATAAGTTAAAATGAATGAGTCCTTTTAATGGACAATGATGTCACAGAAATCCAACATGAGCCGACGTTTCGGGGCCACACAGGGTCCCTTCTTCAAGGCAAGAGATGTGACCGTCATCTCAACAACCAGGAGTCTTAATTTGTCTGGCCCGTTATATTTATCCGGATAAAAAGAAAAATGCTTTTTGAAATGTATTTTCGTGAAGAAAGGAAATAAAGTTTACATTCATACAAATTTAGGATTATTCCATATATTTTTACTTATTTTTACCATCTTTATTCTAAGTAGTTTTTAGTACGCTCTGCTTTCTAACAAACGGCTAACAAACTTTAGGTCTCAGTCTGACTGAAAATCCATATGCTGCCTTTTCTGCATGAGTATTGCAGGAGACATGTACACTATATGGCCAAAAGCTTCTGGAGACCTGACCATCAAACCTACTATATGGTCAAAAGTATGTGAACTCCCCTCCAAATGACCGAGGTGTTTCCAGCAAAGGATATTCTTAAAGGAGAACTATGAGGTGAGTGCTTTTCACTCACCTCATAGTTCTAGCCGACCTGTGACAATGAGACTGTCACAGGTCGGCTTAGTAGATCGGGAGGTGAGCGAACATATACCGGATCCTGTCACGGCTTCCCGCCAGCGCTCACTGGCGGAACGGATGGGGGATGGGGCGGGTACAGCTGGCTCTGCCTCTAGATAGGCAGAGCCAGCTGTCAGTCACGCAGCTGGGCGGATCCAGACATAATTGTCGGGATCCGCTTCAGCTGCGGCGTCTCAGTATACCGCGAGCAGGATGGGAGAACGCTAGTTTGTGTCCTCCCGTTACCCTAAGGAGAACTATGGGGAAAAGCCTTAACCCCATAGTTCTCCTTTAAAGCTACTGCATACAAAGGCATTTTAGACAATGGTGCACTTTCAACCTTTTGACAACAACTTTTCTGTTCCAGCATGACTGCGCTCCTGTGCCAAAAGTCATCTCAATAAAGGCGTGGTTTGACCAGTGTGGTGTGGAGGAACCTATTTATAGTATGTTCAGATCCCGGACATCTTTGGGTTGATTTGAACACTGATTGTCAGCCAGGTTTTCTAGTCTGTCATCAGAACCTGACCTCAGAAATGCTCTTTGGGCTGAATGTGCACAAATTCCCACAGGCACACTCCAAAATCTTGTGGAAAGCCTTTCAAGAAAAGCGGAGGTTGATATAGTTGCAAAGGGGGCAGAGGTGGTGGCAGGTCAATATTAATGCCCATGGTTTTGGAATAAAATATCCAACAAGCTTATATAGTAGGTAGGGCTGCAACAACTAATTGACAATCGATTATAATCGATTATTGAAAAAGTTGTCAACTTTTTCAATAATCGATTAATCGGCTTCCGATCAGTTGGCCCTGTTCACGGCTCCACACATGCTGCGCGCCACACCTCCTCCCCAACTCACGCTCACCGCTGCCAGACCCGACCTGCCCGCATCCACGCTCTACACGCCGCACCTCCTTCCCGCCTCACACTCACCGCCCACATCCACGATCGGCACAGGGACACGGGGAGATGTAGTAAGGAGGAGCAGGTTTGGGGGGATGACAGCGGCAGATAGACAGGCCCGATCTCAGAAACAAGTTGCTGGAAGACTGCTCAGGTAAGCCTGCACTTTTTCACACATGGTGCTCTAATGTATTGCTGGGATTTGTATTCCTCTATAGCTGGCGGTACATTGTGCAGTATATTACACATAGGAATACAAACCCCAGCAATACATTATACACTATGTGTATAATGTACTATTGTTGGGATTTGTTGTACTCCTCTATAGCTGGTGGTATTCTGCACTGCACTGTATAGAGGACTACAAATCCCAGCAATAATACATTATGCAGTGCCATGCGGAATTCCACCAGCTATAGAGGACTACAAATCCCAGCAATAGTACGTTATACAGTGGTGCAATGCCGAATACCACTAGCTATAGAGCAATACAAAACCCAGCAATAGTACATTATACAGCACAATGCAGAATACCACCAGCTATAAGGATTTGTTGTGCTCCTCTATAGCTGGTGATATTCTGCATTGCGCTGTATATTGTACTATTGCTGGGTTTTGTAGTCCTCTATAGCCGGTGCCATTCTGCATTCATTGCTGTATAATTTTTCACTTTTCATTTCACTATATTGCACACCACACTATTTTCTTTTTTACTTCCACCGCTTCAAGCTTGCTCCTGTGATGGACTACAATCTCAATACAAACTAGTAGTCCCCTCACTGGAGCCATTTTTAAAAATGTATTTTATTGTTTATCCGATTAACCGATTAATCGAACTTAATAATCGGCTAACTAATCGATTTTGAAAATAATCGTTAGCTGCAGCTCTAATAGTAGGGATACACCAATACCATTTTTCCAAGACCAAATACGAGTACCGATACTTTTCCTCCCAAGTACTGGCCGATATCAATTACCGATATTTTTTTTATTGTCATGTGATAGTTTTTCTAAAACAATACAGACTACTGATTTAAGGAAGGGGTGGAGAACTAGGGCCCAGACACGGCTGCAGCCACCCCAACCCTGGTAGTTCTGCACACTGATTCCAAGCTGTAGAGGGACTACAAACCCCAGCAATACATTATACAGCAATGCAAAATACCATCAGCTATAGAGGACTACAAATCCTAGCAATACATTATACAGCAATGCAGAATAATATAAAGCTACATAATCTGTGTTACTCACCAGCTGCAGGGTGTCTCAGGAGGCTGTGCGGGGTCTCACCAGGGTTCTGTGGGGTCTCACCAGGGCTGTGTCAGGTCTCACCAGGGGCTGTGCGTGGTCTCAGGAGAATGTGTGGGGTCTCACCAGGGCTGTGCAGGGGAGTATGTGTACTCCTGAAAATGCCCAGTATCGGCACCGATACCCATACCGGTATGGGTATCGTTGCATCCCTATTATATAGGTAAGAAGTGATCTGTCCATAAACGATTGTCCATATAGTGTATGTGACAGCATATTAAGGTTGATGCATTACAACTGCAAAAAAGACAACGAGCACAACATTGGTAGCAAAGTTGCTGCCTAATCAAAATTCTTGTTTAATTTTTCCATAAGATTAAAGATGAAACCTATTTGGTTACTATTGGCAACATGTTTCTGTTTTAATGCATCATCTCAGTTAGCTCCATGTAAATATTCTAAGAGTACCTGTGGACATATTTAGATGGACGCAGACATACCTCCGGGGTTTTAAGCAAATTCACTTTGGACGAGGTGGTATGCTACATGGCTGTACAGGCATAAAAGAGTAACATTAATATTATAATGATTAAGTATTTTTTCTCTGTACAGCCTCGCAGTATTAATTATTATGAAAAAATACAGATTAACACTTCAATTTAAAAATGTTCCACCAAATAACCATCACTGATTACTCATTACAATGTGTTGCCACATGACCTGGTGGTTGAGCTTTCAGGAAAAAAACATTAACTGAATACCATCTTATAGTGAGTTGTCTCCCAGACTTCATTTATTTGCAGCAATCAAATTATATGTAAACCCAATCACTAAAATCTCATATAAGCATTAACCCTTCAATGGCGAAGTAACATATTAATGCAACGTCACTGAGGTCAGATTTCGTCCATGGTGCCGCATACATGAGGCAAGTTTTTGTGCTGGGAATGCTCTTGATTGCGTGCACCCGGCACGGAGACTGAGCTGTTACCGACAGCTTCTGGT